AGAAGTGCCCCCAAGGACAGGAAGAAAGGGACCGTCTCCTCGCTGGCCCCCATCCAGGCACAGGGCAGCTGTGGAGGCGCCGACCCAGCACCTGGTAGAGACAGGGCTGCTCCCGAGATGGGGCACAACCCCCAGCCCTTTCTCTTGTTTAAAAAACTTGTAGAGCCAGGCCAGCGTGGCTCAGTGGTTGAGCGTTGACCTATAAACCAGGAGGTCACGGTTCGATTCCCGGTTGGGGCACATGCCCGGGTTGCAGGCTCGATCCCCAGTGTGGGGCCTGCAGGAGGAGGCCGATCAATGATTCTCTCTCATCATTGATGTTTCTGTCTCTCTCTCCCTTTCTCTCTCTGAAGTCAATAAAAACATATTTTAATAAAAAACAAAAAACTTGTGGAACAAAAGGGACTGAAACATACTTGCGTTTCATCACTTACAGTCAACTCTTGTCCTTCTGACAGCTCTGTCCTGGGTCCCCCAGTTACCAAGACACGGTGCCCCCAGAAAGGGGATGTGGGGCAAACCTGGGAACTGCGGGGCCAGGCGGGGTACCCCGATCCGTGCTCACCTTGGGGGGGCAGGTCGAAGCGGACGTGCCCGTCATAATGCATGGCGCTGTGGAACTTGCTGTCACAGGCTTGGCAGAGGTTGAGGGGTCCCCGGCGGTGCAGCTGCTGGCAGTCGGCGTGGTGGCATACCTGTGGGCGAGGATGGGAGATGGGCTGTGGCCAGACCTCTGCCGGGCCCAGGGGGGCCTCCTGGCCCCTCAGGCGCTGCCCTTCATTTCCAGCCATGCTTTCCCCACGGGTGCCTGGTGCTCGGGAATTCACTCGACAAACGTTTCGCAAGCACTTACTCTGTGCCACTCTGAGGGATGCAGAGAAACCCCACGCCCTGCCCAGCCATGCAGTGCCCAGGGCAGACTTCGAGTAAGTAACCAGAGGTGGGTGCAGCCAGGGCCTCTTCCTGGGGCGCAGGCAGGAAGGACACCCAGAAACGAAGCTCAGGCTGCCGTTCGGTTTGGCAGCGCAGTGTCTGCACCAGAAGGCCCCCCGCCTCCCGCTCGGAGCCTCTGCCCTCGGTTCTATGGCCTCGCTGGTCCTGAATCACCGACCCTGCCCGACTCCTAATTCAGGAGGGAAGGGGGATGGAGGCACCAGGGACAGGGGTTGGTGTTGGGTGCCCATGAGGGGTCCATGCAGTTGCTTAGTGACATGGTCCCAGATTTACCTTATCATCCGGGCCTCTGCTCCCCCAGCCACCAGGGATGACTTTCCTATCTCCTCCATCCTCCAACCTCCCACAGCTCACCCCCACCCTCTCCCGGAGACGCTGCTTCCTAATTTTTTAAAATGTTTTTTATTGATTTCAGAGAGGGAGGGAGAGATAGAAACATCAAGGAGGACAGAGAATCAGTGATTGGCTGCCTCCTGCAGAGAATCAGTGACACTGGGGATTGAGCCTGCAACCCGGGCATGTGCCCTGACCGGGAATCGAACCGTGACCTCCTGGTTCATAGGTCAATGCTCAACCACTGAGCCACGCTGGCTGGGCAGCTTCCTACATTTTTTAGGGAAACGGAAGCATCAGAAGGCGATGCCATGAGCTCCCTCCATCACATCCACCACCTGCCCTGGGCTTTGGGGGGCTTGGCCCTGCTCCAATCCAAGGCCAGCCTTCCACCGAGACCCACACCCTCTGGCCAAGGTGCAGACACAGGGCTTGGCATGTGCCACCTCCTACCTCCTCAGGTCGCCCCTCCACAATGGCTCACTGCCATCTGCACATGGCTGGTACCTCTCATCTCCCTCCTTCTCCTACAGGTAAACTCTCTAAAACAGCGGTTCTCAACCTTCCTAATGCCGAGACCCTTTAATACAGTTCCTCATGTTGTGGTGACCCCCAATTTCATTGTTACAAATTGAACATAATTAAAGCATAGTGATTAATCACAAAAACAATATGTAATTATATATGTGTTTTCCGATGGTCTTAGGCGACCCCTGTGAAAGGGTCGTTTGACCCCCAAAGGGGTCGCGACCCACAGGTTGAGAACCGCTGCTCTAAAAGGTCTCCAGCCCAAGCTGGTTTGGCTCAGTTGTTAGAGCATCAGCCCTCGTGACTGAAGGGTCATGGGTTCGATCCCAGTCAAGGGTCAAGGGCACGTTGCAGGCTGGATCCCCTGCCCGGGTGCCAGGTCAGGGCACGTGCAGGGGTAACCCATGGATGTCGGTCACATCATTGTTTCTCTGTCTCTTCCCCTCCCGTCCACTCTCTCTAAAAACCAACTCGAAAAATATCCTCAGGTGAGGGTAAATAAATAAAAATAAAACAGGTCTCCACGCTCACCACTTCCTGGTTCTCTCCTCTCATTTTTCTCTCTTTCCCAACTTTTTGTTTTAAAATATTTCAAAGAGACTGGAAGGGAGGGGGAGGGACAGACAGAGAGAAAAACATCAATGTGAGACACACAGACTGTTTGCCTCTCACACAAGCCCCAACCAGGGCCGGGACCCAGCCTGCAAGTGAGGTACGTGCCCTTGACCGGATGGAACCTGGTACCCTTCAGTCCACAGGCCGACGATCTACCCATTGAGCCGAACTGGCCAGGGCCACACCGATGTTTTAAGTGGCCAAGCAGGAAGCCCTTCAGGTGACTTTACAGGGGACAGCAAGGTCCCCAAATGACCTGGCGCCTGGGTG